TTGATTTCTAGAAGTCCAGCTAATTTCTGAGTACATGTCAAAGCTAGTGGGACATAAGTGTTATGCTAGTAAAATAATAATTATTATGCTAGTGGGAGCATAATCAATTATGGTGTATGTTGCAAATTAGAAATGTTAATTATAGAAAACAAATGTTTCAATTCGCAAAGTTGCAGGGTTTGAAAAGTTGTTTTGCTATAATTAAGGGAGAGGAATTTATACTTCATTTCAATTCTAAAAGCTTAGATTGGGGTTTTAATCAAATTTAGTCAAGGACATATATGAATGTTATGTTGAAAAGATTCGACATAAGGAAATTCTATATGGAAATGTTAATTGCGTTCTCAAAATTTGATTATGACTAAGGCATCCCTTTCCATAATTCAAGTTATGAGAACATGGCAAATAGAAAAAAATTATAGTAAAATACTGATCAAGTATCATGTTTTTATGTTAGACATTATGAATCGCATCCCATATGCTTCGGGTATAGGATCGATTGCATATGCTATAATATTCTCGTGTTCTAATTTTTCCAAATGCCTAGGGCATTAAGAGGAAAAGGGACTAGAACCGGATATGACTAAAGTGGTTAAACAACTGTTAAGGACAATCTAAGGTTCACCAAGGATTGGTCGCTTAAGGACAGTTGGAAGTATAGTAATGGTTGGACCATATTGACATTATTATGAATAGACAGGATTCTATTAATAATGAGTTGTCGTATGGAAAATATGGAATGTTTCCATATTGGGAGTTAGATATTAAGAATCTATATGTAAGTTAGAAACTTTTATGCAATAAGGATGTTCAAAGGAATGTACTTTGAATTTGAGACTTCATTTCCATGGAATTGTCTAGTAACAATCTCCAAAGGAATATTTTGTAATATCGTTGGTCAAGTCTTTGTGACTTTTGGTACCTAGACATTACAAAACAATATTGCATAATAGTGTAGAATCTAACACATTCTAGCAGTGACAAGAATTTGGAATTCTTACACTTGCAATAAGGATTTGGAGTTGTGAAATGAGCTTCATTGACATGTTTTTCAATTGATCTATTTCACAAAGAAATGACCGTAGAAAACATTGTGTGCATGCTTGGAGCATGGGATAACTATTGTTTTAATTTAACTATCAAGTTGATTATTCGAAACATTATACAATGAATAATGAGTAATCAATATGGGACTCAAAAGTTTTGGGCCATATAGGATTAGTATTATTCTTGTGTTTCACTTTGAATGTTTTGACTTCCCGAATAACTAGGTTATTCTTCCCGAATAACTAGGTTATTCAAACCATCCACAGTCAATCATACTTTGGAAGTAGGTATTGAGGCAAGACTGTCATGAATGGGTCTGTAGTTTGTCTAAAGGCGCTTAGAAATAACACAAGTTTGCTGCAGTGTTCATGAGTACTCCTGGAATAAGATTCGAGTATTGGATTCAACCCACGCTCATTTGAATCACTTCATGGATTTTATCACGAGTGATCATGAGACGATAATATCTTATATTCTTGAAACTGAGAGATATGAGTTGCATTCTACAAGTCGGTTGCACATTCATAATATGAAAACGCACCGGTAACTCGGTGTTATAAAACATATTGTTGTGTGTGATTTGATGATTAGAGTGAGCAAGCATATGAGTCGAAGTTTATCCATTCCTTTTACCCTTAGAGGGATAAAGCGATATATGTGGGCCCCTCGATGATTTAGTGATGACAACCCGGAGTGCTTGGCCAAGCCTAGACTGATTTGATTTGTTCAACTAGTCATTCGTCATAAATCGAAAATCGGGAAACAACAGATGGACAGAGAGAATGATTAAAATCCATGTCTCAGTCCATATGATATCTAGAATGGAGGAATATATGATCCCTTATCTAATGGACGTGTCATTGACTAGGTCAGAGTTCGACAGCGGCTTTTAAGAGCTACGATTGCTAGTCGGGTTGTGGAGTCGTACTTGTAATAATAGTTATTAGACTTATCCAAGTGGAAGACTGTTGGACTAGGGTCTTAGTCCATAACTTTAATTGGTATGTACTTGACCCGAGAGTAGCATGGTCCATTTGGGTTGCATATCACCAAGACAATTTGATAGGATGGACTTTTGAGAAGAGGTTATTTATGATTTATTAATATATTATAAGTTCTAATATATTAATATGAAATCATATTATTTAATTAGTATTGATCAAGAATTAGTTTGGAACTAATTTAGTGATCAAAAGAGACTAATTAAGTATATGGGGATTGATTGTGTAAATCATTCATTCTTATAAAGTGGGCTTATGATCCATAGTTCTTTATGTTGGGCTAAACCCATGTGGTGACCAATGGATACTCCATAGAGGTTAAAACCCATGGATCCTAAGGAATGTGGAAAGTCATGCACATTAGGGTTTTCATGGCATAACCCTAGTTGTGCCACACTATATAAGAAGCCCCTTGGTTGGTGAAATGGGCACTAGTAGTTCTTGGAGTTCATATGAGCCAATTTGTGTGCAAGAAACTCTCTCAAGTTATCCTTTTGTCCAAAGGTGTGTTATGATTCCATTTGAGGCATTCACACTATTGGTGCTAAGTTCTTAAAGGCCAAAACTACAAGCTACAACAAAAAGGTAATTCTATAACTCATTTCTATGTTGTTTATGTTAATTGCATGCTAGTTGTAGGCTTTATGCTTTGGATACAATATTGCATGTATAATTAGAGAAAACATAGATCCAAAGCATTTAGGGTTGTATGTGCACCATAAGATGTTGTAGTATACCAAAACCCTTCACTGATTACCACAAAGTTCTAGTCCTTGTCAAGCTATGGCCTTCTCCTTGCCTTAAACTTCTTCTTTAGCTTAGTTTTGGCTCATAAGACCTTGCATGCACGTAAAGTTTGCAACCTTACGTGGTAAATAGGCCCTAGGAGGCTAGATCTACCATTTGGAGCTTTGGAGTAGCTTAAAATTATCTGGACAAAAAATGGATTGCGTGAACTCGACGATTCGGATAAGCCAACTCGACGAGTTGGGGAGGGTTTTCCCGTGGTTAGTTTCTGCATGGACTCGGCGAGTCAGTGAGACGACTCGATGAGTCAGTTAGGGTTTTCCCGACATCTGGACACGCATGGAGTCGACGAGTTGTGTGGGAACTCTGCGAGTCAACTAGGGGTTTTGGGGTTCTGTGAGTCCTGAAGGAACTCGGCGAGTCAGTAGTTGTACTCGACGAGTTGGGTCAACATGGACTGTTGACCTTGACCGTTGACTTTGACTTTGACCAGGGTTGACCAAGTGTGACTTATGAGGGTATTTTGGTAATTTGGGAATTTATGGAAGTGGGTCATTGGTGACTATAGGTGTTCGAGTAGGAGCTGTGTTCGGAAGAGTTTGACATTATCATCCCGAGCTACTTGTGAGGTGAGTTATCCTCACTATAGTCAAGGGTCTACGGCACTAAGGCCGACCCTTTTTGGATTTTTATCCTGATATGTTATGTTAGTATGATCTGTTAGATCAGTATCCTGGTAGATAGGATGATGTTATGCTAGTATGATCTGTTAGATCGGTATCCTGGTAGATATGATGTTATTATGTTGTTATGATCGGTTAGATCAGTTTTCCTGTTTATAGACTGTTATATGATTATCTGATATATGTGCACATATTTGATTGGTGGTTGAGGCTTATCTTCTTTGTGCGAGAGCCAACAGACCTGGGCATTCCAACCCGATGGTTGTGGGTCGTGAGTATTCCATCCCGAGGATGATTGGACTCGTAGTATGTGGGCATTCCAACCCGATGGTTGTGGGTCGAGGGTATTCCATCCCGAGGATGACTCGACCCATAGTATGTTGGCATTTCAACCCGATGGTTGAGGGTCTGGGGTATTCCAACCCGATGGTTGATTGGACCCATAGTATGCTGTTTATGATTATGTGTATATTGTTGTGTGTATGGGTATATTGGGGGTAACTCACTAAGCCTCCGAGCTTACATTTATCAATTATTGTTTCAGGTACTTCTGATGATCGTGGGAAGGCGAAAGCGTGATCGTACATCTCCTCATATTTCATGTTTTTATGATTTGATTCTGGGATACTCTGACATTATGTTATTTTGAAAACAAGTTTTGTAATAACCATTGGTTTTGAAATGTTTTAAAAAGTTTAAATTTGGCATTATTTTTATGGATGTTACATCTGCTATGGAGATAGATGAAATTTAAGATGAAGACATCAATAGCTTGGAGAAAAACTAGGCATCAACATTATTTGACTTATTTGTGAATTAGGATACTGATATAAGTGAACGACGAGCCACATATGAAAACATAAAATTATTGATTGTCTCACGTATGATGTCGCGGACAAAATTTGAAGAAAACGGTCATAAAGACCAAATATGTACAAACACATTAAGGACTAAATGTGTACAAACTGAAAAAATATATTACCTTATTAAATCATTTTTCCGGCTTAACCTGGAGTGGCTGAATATAAGAACTGGATGTGGACAAAAAAACAAATTACACGGTCAAATGTGGACAAAAAACTAAAAAATATATTATCATTTTTAAAACATTATCCCAAAAATATATTATCTATATTCACATCGACGAATGTTTACATTTAAGCAATTTATTCAACTTAAATTTCAAACAATTTGGATGGTTTAATATATAACATCAAACAAACAAACCCTTAACATACATATATAGGCACATATATGTATGTGTGTATGCATACATACATATACACATGCATGCATACATACATATACACATGCATGCATACATACATATAAATACACCAAAGTTGATAACAGAAGCATAATTTCAATCAAACCGAATAAAACAAAGAAACTCTCAAAATATAGAATCATGATCATCATCAATTCGTCACTATATTTACGATTGCATACATCGAATCAATGAAAAGATTAGAATCCAACATTTACAATTATCGATTAACATTTTGTAACACGTAATCACATCCCCAAATGAATGGATTATTATTCTCTACTCGATCAACAAAATGAATTACAAAATCACAACAATGAAATGAATCTAAGTCAATCTGTAAAAACAGTAGTCATTGTCTTTAAGCAAGAGTTCAAAGCCTTTCCCACATGAACAATCCAACCGGATTCTTAAACCACCGTCGCTCAGCCGATCCACCCCTATACATTCCTCTTGCTCCGCCGTCGCCTACAAAGTAAATCAATCAAAAAATTTCGTAAGGTTATGTTCTTCACACATCGATTAATCAAATAGCGAATCAGATTTCATACCTGATCAGTGGGGATTTCATCTTCAACATGTTCTTGAGATTGACTCATAGCATCCCAACAAGTTCGTCCAATCTCCCTAACCATATCTTCCATTTTCCTCAATCTCTGTTTCAAGAAATGATTTAAATCGTTTTATGTGAAACCCACGAACAAGAAGCTGTAATTCGAGAAGTTAATTAGATACGAACCTCAGTTATAGGGCTCTGTTTTCGGATGGAAGACTCCGGTGGTGGCGTTGTTTTTTGATTTGGGGATGGGGAGATTCTTGACGGCTGTGTTCTGGTCTTCTGCGGTGGTTGATACTCGGAAAATGGATCGGAAAGTGTCCGGCGAAGTGGGTTGATTTTTCTTGTTGGCTCCGGCAAAGTAGGAGGTGCGGTGGTGGTGATTGTCGAAAGATCTTGATTGAAAGAAGAACTGGTGTCGGAGGTGGTTCGGCGAAGTGGGTTGTGGTTATCGACGGCGGTTGTGGTGGTGGTGGTGGCTGCCACTGCATCTTGGAAAGAAGTTGAGGGAATGGTGAAGATTGCGTGGCCAAGAGCGGCGGCAATGCGTGATTCTGGGCTGGTAGTTTTTCCGGCGGGTGACTTTGGGGATGGGGTCTGGGGGAGACGTAATGTGTTGAAGCCAGAGGGGTTGTTTCCGGTGAGTTGGACGGTGGCGGAGGGTGGCTGGAAGCCACGAGTATCTTGATGATCGCTGCTCATATTTGAATCTTTTTCTGAATTGTGATTTGTGTATTTGTGTGTTTATAAGGCTTAAGAAAATGGCATTATATAAGAAATGAGAACGGATCATGCCCCAGAAAAATTGGAATGTGTACAAGGGATTTACGCCGTCTCTTCTTAAATTATTTTTTATAAAAAGTAAGTTATGTTCTTGAATTCTTATATATGATAAATTATGGGAAAGACCACTAGTTTTTTTCAGAATATCACACAAAATAGCTAAGAATTTTACATTTTATAAAAATGACTAGCGAATCTGGAATAAGTTACTTTGGACCCGATAAAAGACCGACCTTACATGTTTTTGTGCTACTCACTACACTCCGTGTTGGGATAATTGGTTTGAACCAAATAGGGATTTTTAGTTCATATGGTAAAATAGGAAAGTTTATTTTTTATTAAGTTTTTTCTAGTTTTTGTGTTTGAGTAGGTCTCTTTTAGAATTAGTCTAAGCAAGGGTGGTACGTGCCTTTGTTTTATTATTTCAGAATAAGTTTATTAAGTCAGTAATATTTAGACTCCAAGCAATCTTTTTATTCCCTTGTTTTTCAGATTTCGTTGTTGTTCTCGTTTCTACTTGTTGTTACCTTAGTGCATAAGGTACCTAGTGTGAAGAAGTTTATTCAGTGGCGAATCTAGAACCCAAAACCACGTGGTTCCTTATGTAAGTGAAACCGAAAAAAGTAAGAGAGTAAATAATACTAGTGGCGGGCTAGTGCCTGGCGGAGAGGCGGTGTTGGGCCGGTAGTGATGGTCGGACGGCGAATGACAGATGGGTGGAAACGATCATCAGGACGACATATTTCAAGCATTTTTTTGCTATTTTATCCTTTTTTGTTTAATTTTAAATGGAGTGGATTATTGTCTAATTATTACATTGTAAATGGATCGAAGCATTGAGTTATTTTAAGGGGATTGAAATATAAAATATAGGATTTATACACTTTGATCCATTTTTCTTTTTAGCAAATTTTATAAGGTAGGTCCTTGAAAATTTATTAGGTAGTTCCCCCTTTTTTATGCACAATTTATACTATTTTTAAAAAAAAATAGGTGGGTCCTAGGACACACCTTCACAAAGCATAGATACGCCCCTGAGTTTATTCAACACTTGGTATCAGAGCGGTTTTGTTTGAAGGGGGTGTGATTTGAGGTTGATTACAAGCAACCCCGATTTCTCTTGATCGAGCTTGTTCTAAAGCCGAGAGAGACTAATCGGAGACGCGGAATAAACGAACGGGAAGACGTCAAAGCGGGTGGCTTTGATTTAGTTCGTTTTGCGGGTGACAGAAGACGGTAAAGGTTGTCGTGACTTTGTCTTGTTGTCCGGTGGAAGAGTGCTCTCGGAACAAGCTTGATTAAAGAAGTCGGGGTTAAGGAGAAAAGGATGTCGTTGGTTAAAGAAGGAGGTTCGATGACGTATCAAGTTCCGGTTTTGACTCCAACGAATTATTCGGTGTTGGCGGTCAAAGTCAAGTCGATTATGGATGCACATGACATATGGGAGAAGGTCGAACCAAAGGCATTAGGTGAAGAATCGGATCAAAAGAAGTCAAAACAAGCTCTTGCCTTTTTATTTCAAGCGATACCCGAAGACATGGTGTTGCAAATGGCGAGTTACACCGACCCAAAGCAAGTGTGGGATGGGCTGAAAACACGTTATTTGGGTGTGGATCGGGTGAGAACGGTTCGACTTGCAACTTTAAAAAGGGAGCTTGAATGCTTGCGCATGAAGTAGGGTGAAATGGTCGATGGTTTTGTGATGAAATTATCTGGTTCAGCGTCAAAAGTAAGGAGTCTTGGTTACGAGCTTGAAAAAGTCGATTTGGTGAAAAGGCTACTAGATTCGATGCCTAAGTCGTTTCTTCAAATCGGGCTTCAATAGAGCAATGTTTCGAGTTGGATTCAATGTTATTCGATGAAGCGGTTGGTAGACTGAAGACATACGAGGAGCGTATAAGAGGAACCAAGAAAGTGGAGGACACTCAGGTGTGTTGTTGTTGGCTAGTGAGGAAAAGTCACATGTTTGTAAGCATTGTGGCAATGGACGTTCAAACCGGGATGACTTTGGACGTGGTCGGGGGTCCGGGAGAAGTCAAGATGGTAATGAACGTGTCCGGGATAAAAGTCACATTAAATGTTACAAATGTGGTGAGCTTGATCACTATAAAAACAAGTGTCCTAAATGGGAAAAGGAAGAAGCGGGTCTAATCGAAGAAGAACCGACAGTGTTTTGAACGAGTGGTATGATCAAACCGATTAAGGAGGTGATTGTTGGGATAATCGGTTTGAATCAAATAGGGATTTATAGTTCAAATGGTAAAATAGGAAAGTTTATTTTTTTATTAAGTTTTTTCTAGTTTTTGTGTTTGAGTAGGTCTCTTTTAGAATTAGTATAAGTAGGGGTGGTACGTACCTTTGTTTTTTTATTCCAGAATAAGTTTATTAAGCCAATAATATTTAGACTCCAAGCAATCTTCTTATTCCCTTGTTTTTCAGATTTTGTTGCTAATTCTCTATTCTCGTTTCTTTCTTATTTTATGTTATCTACTTGTTGTTACCTTAGTGCATAAGGTACCTAGTGTGAAGAAGTTTATTCAACACTCAAACACCACGTTGCAGATTCTCTGAAAAGTTTCGTCAAGATGAAGCATGAATTTACAATGATTTAAGAGTAGTTTAGTATATTTGTCGTTCCAAAAATTGGTTGAGCTTAGGTGAACAAGTTAGTTTTATGGTTTTTAGTTCCAATCACCTCATTCTCATTTAAAAAAGGACTTGTGGGATAGATTGGTTACTCATTTTTTTTTATTTGTGGATTAGTAAAATCAACTAAGTAGGATGGCTTTCTAATGTTATCCATTTGATTTAATGTTTAGTTGGAGTTAGATTTGTGGTTGAACTTTTTTGGTGTTTTGTATTTTGTATTTATGTTGGTGTTTAGCTAACGTGTTTTTAATATAATCAAGTTGTTTGAAAAAATATGCTATGGTTTTAAATGTTTATATACTGCTTGTATAAGGTTGTAGGAGTCAAATATGATTGTTAGGTGAATTCATAATTTGGATGAATGTACGTTTGATATACTATTTTGAAGTCTGGAATATCATATTCTGGATCATTTTATGTCTTGTATGTATTATTCTCTTACTGCTTAACACAAAACTCATGAGTCTGAAATAAGTCATTTCGGATTGCTTTGTCTTTTTACAAATCGATAAAAACTTGGTCATTTCAAGTTATTCCTTCATTTCGAATGTTATATTTTAGATCTAAATAAAATAACGACAAATGTATTATATATTTCATAGTATTTTCAATCTTCCATATTGCATTGGATTTTGATTCTCACTTACGAGTAGTCTTTGTGTTTTAAATATCAAATCAGCAAGGAGAACAAGATTTTAAGAGTCAAATTTAAAATAATCAAAATCAAACCATAAACTCTTACAGCTTGAATGAATATTGTGTGAATGAGTTATGAGGAAGAACTTGCTGATTTGATATTTACAATTTTAGAATGTATTTTTCAATTCATATACAAATCAATCAAACACTACTATAAAATCTAATCACTCATCGCACTCATTCATTTATTTTCAACTGGAAAACTAAATAAAATGTGAATCTTATTTCTTTCTTCAAAATAAAATAACAATTTTTCTTTTCTTTGTTTACTTTTGTTTTATCCCGTTTTGCTTTCTCTCCAAACCATAGAACACATATTAGGAGACCAACACACTCCAATTCGAAACCTCTTGTTTTATGAGGTCGTAGATTACTTGTTAAGGTTTATATTTAAAATGATAGTTGGGCCGTATACAATAGTTTTTTATCATACACACCAATTTATATTTTAAAAAGTTATACAATAAAATATACAAATCATATAATTCTCTAAACCATAATTAAAATTATTGGTATGGATGTATCACTTCCCATACATGATAGATCCATGTTTAATGGGAAAATGTCCTAAAAAAACACAATATATTAATTTTGGGGCTATTTAAATCCCCTCAAAATTGTAATAAAAACCCCTCTCATTACTGGTAAAACCCTTATATTGAATTCGTGACTATTTAAATCCATCAATATTTCAATACATACAAAAACAACCCTTTTATTAAATGTCTTTAATATCAAAAAAATACGATCTATTATAAACATATTATTGAAAAAGCAACAACGATATCAAATGTATTATATCTTTCATTATATACTCCAATAAAAATATCTTTCATTACAAACATGTCATTGAAAAAGCCAATGGATTATTTTGGAATTTGACAATTTAATAAGATTTGGAATTCGATTATATGTTGATGTTATTTTAAGTCTCATAAAATACTCAACATACCCTTTAATACTAGAATTTTTCGAAGTAATTATCTCATGGCTCTACCTCTCTATATATGGTTACACTCTTCTCGTTTAAGAACCTCATTCAATTTCATATGAATCAAACACATAACAATTTTTAATTTTTTTCATATTTTAAATCCATCAAATTTCAAAACCTTTTAATAATTCTAGTTTATTCCAAAATATTTTACAAACCAACCTTCTTTTAGTGGTCACATTTTTGGTCCCTTAATTTAGCTCTTTTTTCAACTTTGGTCTCTAAAAAGTAGTGTTTGCAATTTTAGCATTTGTTTAAGGTTTTTGTAATACTCTTTGTCCTTGTTCAAACTAAAATTACTATATTACTCTTTATCCGATTTCTTAAAAATATCTATTGTTTAATAATGTTTACATCCTTAATTCCTTATAATATTACATCACGCGTGTTCGTGTTTTTTGTTTCCCTAAATCACAACTAAACCCGCATCGATTTACTTGGAACATAAACCAAAATCATTACAAACCATCAAAAAAAAAGGACCAAAATTGCAAGCCAGATTTTTTAGGGAACAAAACCATAAATAAATGCTAAACCAAGGGACCAAAAATGTAACTTACTTGATCTTTAATTACATACTCCAATAAAAAAAAAACTTATATATACTTTTACAACCGTATTGCCTACATCATTTTCATCTATAGAATCAAACATAAATAACCCAATTTTCGTCAAACACTAAAAGGGTAGGAATTCCATTCCAATCTTTTTCACCCGATAACACCTTTCAAACATGAATTCCATTCCAGTCTTTTCTCCTAAAAAAGGGTTGGAATTGGAATTGGAATTCAATGTTTGTGGAAGTTTTGATGGGGAGATTGTTTGCCAGATTGCTTTAAGAAATGCATACAAACAGCTGCTGATAATAAACCAATTCCACCAAATGCTATAATAGTGGAATTCTCAATGCTCTTATTGTAACCCCTCTGTCATATAACTTATATCAATAAAATAATTTTATAAAAAAAATAATAATAATAATAAGTTTTATTTAAATAATAATAAATAATATACCTGAATGAGACAAAAAAGAATTGCAGCATTTGCTGGAGCTAAAGAGAGAGTAATCATTCCTCCGCGCAACTCATTTGGCACATAACTGTGTGTTTTTTTAAACACTGATTTTAGGTATTTTTTGGAAATATATTTGTTATTATAATCTTATTTGAGTTTTAATGAGCTTTTACTATTACATTTAATTTTTTATTTTTGTAAATAAAAAACGGGTTACATTATACAAAAAAAAAAATAGCTAAAATGAGAGGTGTGTAAACAAAAAGGTTAGTCGCATAAAAGACTTTATATTTTGTGATTTTTCTGGATTAAACCTCAAGTTTATTTTTTGCCTGAAAAGGACGTTGTATTTTTTCATTTTTTCCGAAAAAGCCCTCAACTTTGTATTTTTTTTTTTTTTTTTGCGAAAAAAACCCTCAATCTTCTAAATGCTTCCAAATAAACTCTCAACTTTTTTAGTTTTTCTCGAAAAAAACCCCTCACATTTTACAATTTCTTTTGGAAAAAAAAATGACTAAAAGGGCCAAAACGAAAAGAATGAAAAAATACAAGGACTTTTTCAAGCAAAAAATAAAATTGAGGTTTAATCCGGAAAAAACACAAAATATAAGGTCTTTTATGAAATTAACCCTAAACAAAATGACCACGTTTTTAACATTTATCATAAAATAATCCATTTTGCAAAATGGATTTCAGAAAATTTCTTTTTTTGCAATATTAAATAATAAATGGTCCCCACTACAAAATTTGAACAAATTTTTTTTTTCTTCTTTGCAAAACAATGATGTCATTATGCAAAATGTTGATGTAATTTAACAAAAAACAAAAATAAGCATTTTTCAAAACAAAAAATATATAGTTTCACAAAATCAATTTTAAGAAATAAGTGGTTGTTTTTTGTTATTAAGTATAAACCCATAAAAAAATCATCGATTGTGATTAAATTAATGTACAAAGTATATGTAATAATTATAAAAAAAAAAATCAGAATAATAACTTACAATGTTCTCAATCGTGCCAAAGAAGGTAAAATGAGGCCAATAGATGCATGAAACAAGCAAAAGAGTCCTACAAGAATTCCAATTTCCTACACAAAGTTTTTCATCATTTATTTCTTTATTATTATATATATAAATAGCATTCTACTTTCATTTCTTTAATAAAAAGGAATTAAAAAGGTAAAATAAATACCTGATAATCATAAGCTACAATAGAAAGAATAACTCCTGATGTGATGAAAGTGTATACAAGACAATCTTCAGTTCTTATGGATAATGGTCCATTTATGAACCATGGAAACATTGTGCTTCCCAACATTTTAGCTCCTAGTAAACAAGGGTATATCAGTCCAAGATTAACTTCTCTCCCATCACCCTATAAACAACATTATTTACAATGTTAAATTGATAGCAAAAATTATAAATAGCAATGTACTTTCATTTATTTATTTTTATTATAGCATACCACTATAGTTGGAGCCCATAATATCCAAACTGCAGCAACAGAAAAGTGAACACAAGATTGTGCCCACCCCAATAACCATATTCTTTTATCTGCAAAACACATATGACACTGAAATCAATATCCCTAAAACCTAAACCCTAGAGAGAGAGAGAGAGAGAGAGAGAGAGAAGTGTTCACCATGGAAGATATGTGTTTTGAATGATGTCTGATACTCATTAAATGTTGAAGGTGGGGATTCTTTCCATTCTTGTGTAATGAAAATGATACTAATGAATGATAGTAAAGAAGTAAAAGTGGAAGGTGAAAGCATGTTCTTCTCAAAATCATTGCTGATAAACCAATTTGCAAAGACTTGGCTTCCAATTAAAGATGCAGACTCAAGAAATGTCATAAGCCAGAACATTTCATTCAATGAATCTAGCCTGTGCCCTAGCTGGAAAGAAAAAGAAACAAGATATGAAAGATTGTTCTGAAGAAACTAAAAAAATAAATATTGAGATTGGAAAAGGCATACAGACCTTGTCATGCTCAACCACCATCCATGTCTCGAAACTGAATAGAAAAATTGAAGTGGCTAAAGAGAGGCAAACACTTGCTAACCAAATGCTTGGATGTGAGAAAATCGTCTTCAAGATAGCAACAAAAAGGTGGAGGATGCAAAACAACAAGCTAACTTTCTTTCTTCCTCTGTGAAAACATGCATTATATCACATGTCACTAGTTTTTCCAACCAGAAACTTGTTGTATTGCATTCATATCTTTGAGGATATGCAGATGTAGAAAAGAGTAGCAGGAAAAGGGGCATGAAAGGAAACATACATTAAGTCAGATAGCATGCCCAAGAATGTTCCAACAAAGAGTGCAGATGCAGAACCGATGATGAGAGATGACACCATTTGGTCTTTGTTAAATCCAAAGTATGCCATTTCATACTCCCCAAACACTGACCACATGCCTTCCATTACTAAAGAATCAAACATAAAGAGTCATTACCCAATCCAGCATTTGAAACTGTAAGAAATGCATTTAGTTATGTGTACAATCCGCTTGAAGCAGCTTCAATTAAGTGAGAATGTTCTACCAAAGGTGTTCACTTTTAAGATATTTTACAATCTCAGACTTTCCATGAAAATGTTCTTCATATTGTGTTCCACCAAGCCAAATTTTGAACAAAGGAGAATAACAAACATTAATTGCTGAATTTTCAGTATCGTTCGATTGTTTATACAAGGGAGGTGATTCTTCCACTTAATAAATTGATTCATGACCACGGATCGAAAATTTGAAAAAAAATGAACTTAAATGCAGTTGAAAGTTAAATGTACAATCAGCAATAACAAATATCATGCGTAGATAATCAATCAGTTGTTAATCTCATCATTCCAACTATGGTTCATCTATAAGTACATTTTGCTTTCAAATTGTTTACTTACTTTATTCACGCAAACTGAAGAACTGATAATGGCAATGAACGGAAGCTGCTGACCTGAGGCGGAGCAAAACACGAGAAGAAATTTTCTCTGAAACCGAAGCAAAGAAGACGGAAGTGATTGATCGAAGACAGTGGAACTCCTGCTCGAATTCTGAGGTAAACAAACGATTGAGAGTAAGCATGATACGAATATGAATATGGACAGTGGTTGATTGTTTTCCCACACTTCACTCTCTATCACAACTCCCATTGGACCACGAAAAATGCAAGTCGATCGTCGACTTAGGATCCAAACAAACCAAATCAACTGCTATGGCGTCGCCGGTGATCGGATTTCATCAGACGCACTCCGATCTCTTAGATCCGATTGATTATGTGCCGGATTTTGGGCCTATAAATGTGTATCCGTTTCAAGCCCTAACCCCCTTTTCATATACCGCTTTATATATCACCCTTAAAATATTCAAAATTTCAACCCATTTTTTTACTTTAGCAAAGTATTCAATTAACAAAAAAGTTAATAACAATGATTTTTATAACTTCACAATTTTTTTTAACAAAAAATCTGTAGAAATTTAAAAGTATACAACTTTACATCACAACCAAACCTATAAATATAAGTTAAAATATTATAAAATCCAATGCTATATCACTAAGTTCTCATTTAGAGCATACGATTGCAAATATTTATCATTACATGGGGTTAAAGCTATCTTTGACAGGTTAGCTGAAAAGATAATTAATAACAATAAAAGTAGTTGTTAATTGAAAAACTATCTAAATGCTGAAAAGTTAAGGAATGGCTAAAAAAGTTATATGTTTGATAAAACAAGCTAATAAAATAATTGAATTATATAAAATAACATAAAAGGAGATTCAAAATACTAGGGTTTTTTATAAATAATAAAGTGTAAATTTTGGAGTATTAAAAAAAACAGCAGCTTAATAAACATATTATGTTGGTCTGAGTAACTTTTTACAAGCTATTTTTTAGTTTGTCAAACATGACAACCTACAAAAGCTCGAAATAAGCTAGCTATGTTGCGCCAAACATAATTTAATGTTATTCTTCCAACAAAGTTTGAACCCAGAACTATTTAACATTGTCCGTCTCGAAAGCATTATATTATATGTATATCAGATGTACATGTCATTGGCCCATAAGAAACACAATCCATATTGGAATTGAAATCCAACAGTGCATGTAAAGTGTCGTTCGATAGAAGTTGATAGAGGCTGAAACGTATTGGGTTAGAAGTTGGATGGGGTAGAGGCTTGGAAGGAGTCGGAGCAAAAACGTATGCCAAACACATGGACTGAGGACCGAGTCCATGTAGACCGATGTCTGAAGAGTAAAACTTAGTCCGAAGCTTTTTTTCTCGGACCAAATCAAAAGAAAAGTGAGGGACTATGTCATAAATTAGAATTAGGACCGAGTCAAAAGATCTTGAAGCAAATCAAACATGTTGATTGGGAAATATGGACCGAGTCCTAGCTTTAGACCCAGTCGAAACCTCTATCAAACAGCCGTTAAGAACATCCACCATGGAAGTAGTATAAAAGTTGAATAGGATGATAATTAAGATCGAATAGGAGTTGAATGAGTGTGGGTGATGACATGAAATAGAGTTGAATGATCATTAAATGGTTCAATAAAAAGAATAAAATGATAATTATAATTGAATAGTTGTTTAATTGGTTGTAGGTGTTGTTGTATAGATATTTAATGGTAATGTAGCAATCCATTAAACTCTAGAGTTCAATGGATTTCAATGGATTGGGATGCACTAAGCTCCAACTATTGATAGTTTTTGCAGTATATTACCCGGACACCAACTGGGCTTAGTCCACCGTGGAAATTAAAACAACATAAAGCAAAGGGAGCTTTTTCTATTCAACATGAGCAGTAATGAGCACCAACAACAATAATACTTACAATAACACTAAATTAAACGCAAACATAACAAGTTCATTATTTACAAATAAACATTCATTATTATCACTCGACTATTGATGAAATAAGGTAACTCATCTTCTTCCAATTAGATCGAATAATGTGAGAGAGATATTGCCAAGGAGCCGAGATCCACCCATAAAACAACTCCATGTCATTGCACACTATCATCTTCCTAAACAATTATGAATAATAATAATAATAATAATAATAATAATAAAAGTTAATTTCTCATTGACACAATAATTTTTTTTGATAAATTAGTAACGAGTTTTGGATTTTCTTACACAAACATGAGTTCCCATCCAATCGGGAATGTGTTGAGAAAGAAGAGCAATGTATTGTTCCATTGCATCCTCTCGCCCTAAATTCTCTAAACGTTTCCATGCGTTCCTAAAATGATTTATTAAATCTTGATATGTTAACAATTATAGAAAATAAAAAAAAATTAATAAAAGAAAATAAAAATAATGTGGTAAATTGTTGATTATAATATATACCAGTTAGCACGAGCAGAGACTTTGAGAGCCATGGGTTGCGATTCAAAGCAAGGTCCTTCAATGGCGACTCTATGAAGCCCATAAAACTGCATCTTTACTTCATTATCAATCAAATTTACCCGATCAGCAATCGTTTTGGATCCCAAAAACGCCACAGCAGCACCGAATCTTCTTTCCAATTCTGTTGTCTCAATTCCCTGCCAATCATCGTCAAAAACCCCTTCTTTCTCCTCAAGCTTCACTTCACCAACATCAATGGCGGATGATTCATGGTGTTCTTCAATAGTTTTGATGCAATCTTCTTGTGTTGATGATGAGATGTCGCTAGCGAAAATAGGCTTAACCGAATAAACAGCGTCGTCTTTAGATTTGGTTCTCTGAGGACTTTCGTCGAACACATAGCGCACAACAGCGGCACTAGATGATTCTTGCTGTTCTTCAATGGACTTCACAGTGTCTTCTTCTGTTGATGATCGCGTATCAGGATCCACCACATTACCCTCACCACTTTTATAAACAGCATCGTGTTTAGATTTGGCTCTCTGAGGACTTTCGTCGAACATGTAATTCTCGTCAACGGAGGAAGATGATTCCTGTTGTGCTTCAATGGATTTCATACAATCTTCTTGTATTGATGATCCCATATCACTAGCTAAAACAGGATCCACCACATTACCCTCATCGCTTTTCACCGAATAAGCAGCATCATCTTTAGATTCGGTTCTCTCAGGACTTTCGTCGAACACATAACTCTCACCGACGCCACCGACACTTTTTGAGTCATCGATCACATGCTCAGTTAAGAATTCAGCTTCAGCATATCCGAAAAGAACATCTTCACTAACTCTCACTGCATCTTCAAAGTACCCAGATTTCTCCTCTTTCACAGAATCACAAACAACCCATTCTCTCTCGATCTTTTCTTCAACACTTTTCGATAAGGTTGAAGCCCCATCATCACAACTTGATGACATTGAAAACAGCTTTGCGATTAACAAGGAAACTATGAGAGAGAAAGAGATTGTAAACACTAATTCTTGAAAAAGCTCCATGACTGTAGCAAACAACGACAAAGATGGTCCAAAGCGCCACTAGGGTTCGGAAAATGGCAGATTAATGCACCCAAAATTTTGATGATTGAAAGAGATTAAGGGATAAAAAGGAATTTTGTCGAAGGGAGAAAAGTATATACGATATTCCAGTACAATTTCAATGATGGCTTCTATTCTGCGGAAGGTTGAACTTGAAAATTTTGGGCTGGAGCCCGCCATCGTTGAGAAGCTTACGTGTCCAATGATGTTTTCCTCATTATAACCGGCAAAACTTTTGACTTTAGTTCCACTTATCGTTAATATAATTTAGAATAAATTACATGAATACTCTTTATGGTCTGCGCTGATCTTTATGCTAGTCTTAGGCCTCACAATTATCGATATAACCCGCGACAAGACACGAAATAAACGGGTATGGGTTCAGTTTTTCAACCCGTCAACTCGTTTATTAAACAGGTCATATATGGGTTTCTCAAAAAAATATACGGGTTGATCCGCCAACCAATTTATAATTTTAATAAAAAATTATATATTTTTTAAATGTATTAAGTATTATACACTATACAGTTTATATTTTATACTAGGATAGGATACCCGATATCATTGACCATTTGACTCATGGGTAACTATTTGCTGATTTGCATTGCGACACGTTTGGCGTTTGCCCTAAATAATGTCAGTATCTCACAAACAAAATCGAATAAGCCCTCTCCCGGTCTCCCCTATGTGATGAACGGCATAATGAACTTACGAAGAACGGCGGCATTAATGATTGAATCATTATCGAACAGCGTCGAAGCATTCGATTAAATTTATCTATGTTTGTATTAATATTTTAGTTTGAACATATTTCCATTAATGTCTTTAATTTTCATTTAGATGTTTAAGACTTAAGTTTCTAAAATTTGGATTTGCATCAAGAATTTATTCATGTTTAATTATCAATTTTATTTAAGGAATCTGATCCACGAACACACAAACCCAAATCTGACCCACGAACCTGTCAACCTATGAATCCGTATAAATAAGTGGGTTGACATGTCATATATGGATTTATGTTCAAAAACCCGCCAACCTGTGACTTGTATAGTTAAATGGGTCGTGTTCGGGTTGGTGTATTTTGACCCGCCAACCCCGAACAAGACACGATTGTGAGGCCTAGCTAGTCTCTAACAAAAAAAATTTAACTTGGAATGTCCTTATTGTTTGGATTTGTTTCGGTTTAGGTCTCTAACAGATGTAAAAAGACTAATAGACCCTTATTAATTTTGTTTTAATTTTCTATACTATTAATTTATTAAAAAATATTAACATAGTATGTGGGTCCCTCTCATTCCTCCTTCGTCTTTCGTCTTTAGTCTTCATCCTCTTTACAGCTAACCTACATCGATTATGCCTCCACCCATATCTCTTCTCTCTCTCTCTATCTATCTCTCTCTCTCCGGTGAACACACCACCATCAAGATTCTTTAAGCTCATTTATATCTTTCTCAACTCGGGTAAACACCCTAACCCATGCAGTATCAAAATGTCAGTTGTGGAGATCTAAGTCGATATAGGAAAGTCGTAATACTGTCGTTTTCTCCGATCTGTAATCGAGTGGTGCTAGTGGTGGCTTGTCTTTGCTATAGGTGTCGCATTTAGGGTAGTGGCGGTGGTATACGCTCCGAGAGCTAGAGGTAGCCACAAATGAATTGTCAGATGATGGCTTTAGAGTGCAAATCGGTGCTCGGTGGTGGTATTAGAGAGGTTTTTGATAGAGAAGAAAGGTGGTGGTGGGCGTCGACGATCGATGGTGGCTTTAGTTGTAGATTGACACTTGATGTTGGCTTTCGAGAGGTTTCTAGCAGAGTATAGAGGTGGTGTCGCATGGTCGGCAGTTAATGGTGGATTTGGAGAAGTTTCCGGTGGTAGTGGTGACTTTTGGGAGGTTTCCGACGGCGGTGGGTTTGGTGGTCTGGTTAAGGTTGTTGAATGTAGAGAATAAGGAATAATCTATCTGATAAAAAGGCAGAGGGTGGGACTCATATGTTTTTTTCAAATTTTTTTTAAATCACATAATAATAAAAATTGATATAAATGTCATGTTATGTTTAGTAGGGACTTACTCCGAAATAAAAGCTAGGGACTTTTCGAATTAAAAAATTTTGTTAGGTACCAATCATGCAGATTACTCCAATCCACAAGGACCATTCATATAATTTATCCTATAATTCTTTTACGTGTTGAAGTTTTGAAATTTTCCACAAATAAACCAATTTATGTATTGTCCTAACTTTATGTTTGACGATTTTATTGAGTGGGGTGCTTTTATGTGTTGTAAAAGCAATTATTACGACTAAGATAATTATACTTGGTAAATTTGGTATTATTATAATTTGTTATTTTTTAATTTTAGATTTAAATAAGTAGCTTAGATCAAAATTGCTACATAAAGTGACTAATTTTTATGTACAAATTATAATTCTCTAACCACGTTTGCTCTGCCTTCTTTATAACGCTTGATGATAAGTGCATCGCTGGTGACAAGCTCATCGGTAAGATCTTCGTCACTCTGCTCACCCTGGTCTGAATTTTCTGAGTCGCTGATTGTCTTCCTTGTTTCCTTTCGAGACATCAGGGCAACAAATTTTTCCTTGCTCGAGTCCTTCATGATTTCCTTACGAAGAGCTTGGTCTCTTCATAATTTCGCAGATTACCGCACAACGAATTCAGATCCATAGAATCAATCTTCTCACCATTCTTAAGAACATCAACGTGATGTTCCCAACTTTTCCCAAGAGAATTGAGAAACTTCAGAACCAACTATGACGAGTGCTTAACGATTCCCATCTTGCGCATATCATTAACCAAACGATTAAACCTATTGAAGTTTTGGGTAAGAGACTCACCTTGTTGAGCAAAGAAATGCTCGTATCTTCGATTAAGATTGTTGATGGTCGTAGCCTGGACTTCCACGGTACCTTCATAAGCTACAGTCAGCGTGTACATCATCTCTTGTGTTGATTCATAATTTTGTATGATATGATACACGTGGTATGGAAGAGAGTTTCCAATAGCAGCCCTGGCTTTCACATCAAGACTGAGCAGTCTTTTGTCATCGTCGCCATAACTTGTTGCTGGCTTTTGCTTCAAGGGGCCAACGGGAGCGTTGTTTACCATGGGTTGGTACATAGGGACATGGGGACTTTTTTCAACAATATTTTTCATCTCATATTCAATGGTTTCAAGAACCACCATGGCCTTGGTTTTCCACTTGATGAAGTTGTGTTCATCAAAGGGAAGAATTTTGTTGAGACCAAAGGATTTGGAATTTCTTGAAATCGACATAATAACTTAGTGTATCACAAACCTGCTCTGATACCAATTAAAGGTTTGTATTTGATCGGATACACTTCAAGTATGAATAAGAAACGTAAAACTAATCTAAGCAAAATATCAACAAAAAGTAAATAACACAAAAGTTCTTCAAATTGTTCCTTTCACCAAGAAAATAGGTTTTGTCTTCACCAAGAAGACGGGTTTATCACAAAGACGATCGACACAAAGCCACGATCACTACCACTACATTAGGGTTTGCCCTAATGTTATATATATACTAATCTATACATGTATATCCCTTGATTGAATGGATTGCGTCTAATCTATACTAAAGATCAGATTCTTATCACAAAGATTACAGATCTAATATCTATTCTATAATTATCTATAATAACCGCCTAATATACAAAAGATTACAATTGGATAACTATACTAAGTGTTGACGCTATTGAGTTTGAGACGTTGTGTAACATCCCGTTATTTTCTTATTTGTAAAGTCAACACAAGTCAACCGAAGTAAAACTAAAGTCAACTAAAGTTCTTTTTATTATTTGGATTTTTATTTAAGGTTATGATAATAACCTTTATTTGCTAAAATCTTTATAATATCCATAGTTGAATTTAGAAGGAAAAGGCTTAAAATTGAGAACTTCACATCTTATTCTTGCCTCGGACCGTAAACACTTCGGACCGTAAACTCCTCGCAGGCCGTAAACGAGACTTCAGCCGTAAACATCAAACCGACTTCGGACCGCAAACTCCTCAGCCGTAAACCCTCGCACATATATATAGATTTCCTTCATTTTCTCACTATTTCTCACATATTCAACCCAAGAAACTCGGTTTTCTCTCAACTATCATCAATATTTACACCTTAATCTTCAAATAAGTAAGTGTTTCTCATATTTTAATTAGTTGATATCTTGCTTAATCTAGTGAAACTCTATGATTTCATCCATGAAATCATCTCTTTTGCTTAGATCTTCAAGAACACCAAGAACACGTACTAGTTCTTTAGGCCGTGAACACCTCATTCAAGCTTCAAAACGTAAGTATACATCCTAATACTAGTTATTCTATAGAAATTCATAACTTACAACCTTGAAAACAATCAATTCCAAGAACAATGAGAGTTTACGGCCATGAGCATCTTCCTTGGCCGTAAACTCCTATGAAGAACATCTTGGGCCGTAAACTCCATGGCCGTGAACACATTGTGTGGCCGTAAACCCCTTTAGAATAATCACATGTGATTGTAACACTTAAATTCAAGTGTTTTCTAGTCCCTAAAGTGGTTTCCTATCATAATTAATTGTTATATACACTAATTATATCCATATATGTATCAATATATGCTTAATAGGATCCGTTGTGTTCAAAACTTCACTTGACACTTAGCATCCTACACCAACCTTACATTTGAATAACTTACAACAGGTGAGTTCATACCCCCATATTTTCATAGTTTTTACTGTTTTAGGGGGGGGGAATACAAATCTAACACAAAGTTTTTGTGTTATAAACAAGTGATTTCATATATTTTATCAAAATGGATTTCAGTTATCATTAAATCAAATGGTTTTCAATGATGTTTCAAAATGACATCAAGTCGCCAAAATAAATTTCAAAATATCAAACTTCTTTTAAATATTTTATAAACTTATATTTTTCCCCAAAAATCATACTAGTATACATATATTTATATAAATAAGATTTAAAAGATTTAGGACTAATAACCCACTTTGGTTCCTTTTCCTTGTTTGGATGTGGGATTACAAGTATAAGTTAGTTGTCCGAGTGTCATTTAAATTTTACTTATATATATTTATATATGTATACAAGTATA